GAATTTACTGAGCCATCCTTGTTTGTCTGTCTATTGTTTTGCCCGTGTCCGCGGAAGGTCGGTGGCCCGGATCCCGCAACGCCCATCTGGGGAGACTGGGCTCCGTTATTTCTTCTCCGCGTCTTTGTTGCATTCGCCCCCCCCCCCTCCCCCGCATCCCCCGCCCCTGCCGCCCGCACCTTGGAGAGCCGCAGGCTCCGGGCATTCTGCAGGCTGAAGAAAATCGCTGTTTCGCCTCGGGCAAGGAACAGAAATGTTGCAACCCTGGCTCCTCCCCTAACGAAGAACTGAACAAGTGCACCGCGCGAGCGCCTTCTCGCACAGCCGCCGCTCAGGGCGCCCGGCGCAGGTCCCCGCCCGGGTCCCAGGAGGCTCTTCCGCGGGGCTCCCGCCCTGCCCGCCGGCCTGACTCGCCGCTCTCCCTCCTTCTGGATTTACCGGCTGCGGGAGAAGCGGCCCGACCCGCCGATCGCCGCGTCCTCCTGCAGGAAGTGCTGCGGCTGCAGCGGCAGAATTCGCTCCCGGACCACAGTGAGTCGCGACCGCGGGTGGCGCGGCGGCGCGGCGCCAGGGCTGCGGGTTCGAGGCCAAGCCCCGGAGCAGAGCGAGGGTGGCGGCGCTTTGCAAAGCGCGTAGAATTGCAGCCCGACCGCCGCGGGCAGAGGGGCTGGGAGAGCGACGATTGTTTGTTTGTTAATTGAATTTATTGGGGTGACATTGGCTCACAGCCCATGCAGGTTAGGCTTTGACCCCAGTCGGCGTTTAGGTCCCCTCCCGCCACCCCCCGCCCCCCAGCTTTGACTACTGCAGCATTCGTCCTTTCCAAACGCAGCTTCAAACGCACCTCGGAGACTGAGTTTTGGCGCGACTGTGGAACTCTCAGATGTGAATTATTTACGGCAGATTGGGGGGAAATTGGGGAGGCGAAGGGGCTCCGCGTAGCTGATGCGATGACCGCGGATCAGGGGTTCCCAGCCGCAGCCGCAGCCGCAGCCGCCGCCTCCCGCGGTCCGGCCCAGGTCCGGGTCCGGCGGGGAAAGTTAGTTACCTGCGCTGACCCGGAGGCGCGGCTCCCCCAGAGGCGGCGGGATGGCGGCAGGTAAGCAGTTCGGGGCTGCGATCCGTACCGAGCAGAGCTGGAGGGAGCAGGACGGGGCAGAGGGTTTCAGCCCGAGGGAATCGGAGAGCGGAGCCCAGGGAAGAGGAGCCCGGAGCCGGGAGCCGGGAGCCAGGAGCCAGCGCGCTGGCGCGGGCGCGGGGCAGAGGGCACGGGCTGGGGTTCTAGCCGCTTCCATAGGAAAACAGCATTTCAGTGACTTTGCCTGTGACCGGGGAAGCAGCCCTAACAGGCAATTTAGGGTTTTCTGTGATTGGGTCTGAGAAGGTTGCTAAACGTTACGATCAGTTGGAGAGATTCCTTCGTCTTCATTCATCAAGTTCTGGCCAAGATTTCCCACTGGAGTCTCCAGGATGGTGCTACTCCTGGCCCTGCACCTGGCCTCAACCCTCAGCAAGACTCCTCTCCTCTCTTCTCCTCTCCTCTCCTCTCCTCTCTTTCTCTCTCCTCTCCTCTCCTCTCCCCTCCCCTCCCCTCCCTCCTCTCTCCTCTCTCCTTCTCTCCTTCTCTCCTTCTCTCCTTCTCTCCTCTCCTCTCCTCTCCTCTTCTCTCCTCTTCTCTCCTCTTCTCTCCTATTCTCCTCCTCTTTCTCTTCTCTTCTCTTCTCTTCTCTTCTCTTCTCTTCTCTCTCTCTCTTCTCTCCTCTCTCTCTCTTCTCCTCTCTTCTCTCCTCTTCTCTCTCTTCTTCTTCTCATTCTCTCTCTCTTCTCTTCTCCTCCTCTCCATTCCTCATCCTCTTCCGCTTCTCTTCTCTTCT